GACGAACTGTCCAAGCAACCCGTAACATCTCCTCATCATCACGCGCCAAGTGGGAGGGAAGTGGACGGGGCCCTGAGCCGACCTAGCCGCCATACGGAATGGGGCGCCCAACACGTACCGGATTACTGTGCCTTCCCCGGGCACAGCCTTTCGGCTCGTGAAGGGTCGGTGCGTGTCGTGACCTCCTGGAACACCCGTACCCCCGCACCATCTCCGTCGCTTGGTTGCTTAACCTTGCCACCACCGGGAGCGGCCAGGACTCATAGACTCGGTCGAGAGACCCCAGATTGGCATCCATGCCTTTCTGGACAGGGTGGCCCGCCACACACAAGGACCCCAGGAATTGCGACTCGCCGCTTTCCTCCCGCTGTGATTCTGTGTGAGCTCTGTGTCTTGATTTGCCAACAACAAACCTACAGTTTGGACGCTCTGGGGACGCGCAGGCCGCAGCAAAACCAAACAAACCCAAGTACTGGCGCATCGGAAAGAATTTAAACAAAAAAACTCTCTCTCACAGCACACAGGCTCGACACAGGTGCGAACTGGCGCGTGCTAGTACTATCACCGGCACACATCGGAAAGAAACACTTGCCAAACGCTGGCGGCCGTCCCCAGCATCGTGAACTTTCCATAGTCTCTCAGCTCCGCCTCCAAAGACAGAAGAAAAATAATGGTATCGGAAAGAATTTTACAACAAAACTCCCTCGAACGACACTGAGATCGGGACGAGCGCATCGGAAAGAATTCTTAAGATACAAGCCTCTATCGGAAAGAAACACTTGCCGCGCTGCTGGCGGCCGTCCGCATCGTGCGCGCCACAAGCAATCTGTCTGCGCCCGCTGCGGCGGAGCCAGTGTCAGGCGGTGCCGCGGCAGCCCCCGACGCGGTCGACATCAAGATCCATGCGCCCTGCCTTCCAGCAAAACTTTGCGAAAATCCTCTGCATTGTCCTTCCCGCCTCCCTCCTCCTCACCTGGGCCGCGCCGAGCAGCCTCGCCACGCTCTCGCCTGCCGACGGTGCCGTCTGGCTCGCGCCCGACGAGCCGGAGCTTCGATATGTCGTTCGGCAGTACTCTGCGCCGGCGGCAGCCCTCTGTGCCGACCCCGAGGCCGCAGACCTCCTGCGCGACAGCCTGCAGGTGCCTGCATGGCGCGGCAGGCCCGCGGCCGAGTGCTGCCGCTGGCGGGGAGTCAGCTGCGGCTGGGACGGCGCGGTGACCAAGCTGGCGCTGAGCGGCTCGCGGGCCAACGGCTCGCTCCCCACCGGGCTTCCCTCCCTGCTCGCCTCGCTGCGCGTGCTCGACCTGAACGGGCTCTCCGCGCTCTCGGGCACGCTGCCGCCGCTGGGCCGCTGCGCACGCCTCACGCACGCCTACCTCTTCGGCACGGCACTCTCGGGCACGCTCCCGCGCTCGCTGCCCGGCTCGCTGCAGGAGCTCGAGTGCTCGCGCTGCCGTCTCTCCGGCACGCTGCCCGACACACTCCCGCGCGCGCTGCAGTACCTCTTCCTCGAGTCGAACCGCCTCTCGGGCACGCTCCCGGCCTCCCTCTCCCGCCTCCGCTCCCTGACCGAGCTCGAGCTCTCGGACAACCGACTCGAGGGGTCGGTGCCCGCCGCGCTCGGGTCGCTCGGCCTGCGGCACCTCGACCTCACCGGCAACGAGAGGCTCACCGGCAGCCTCGCCACGGCGCCCCCCAAGTCGGGCTGCTCCGGAGGCAGCGACCGGTACCTGCGCGGCCGCATGGACGCGCAGCTCACGAGCAGCTTGCGGCCGCCAAAGTCGGACGGATAGAATCGCACCTCCTCCCATTGACGGGTGCGGGCGGTTCGCGCGGGGTGTGGTCCGGGTTGTGAGCGAGGTCTCTGTCCGCCGGAGAGAGGGAAGTCTGAACTTTGTGGACTGGCCTCGCCTCCCCGATCCGCACACCGTCTCTCCCGCCGCATCGGCCGGCCTCCCCGCCTTCGTCGTCAGCTGGGAGATTGTGCGGATGGAGCAGCCGCACGCCGCTCCCGGCGAGTCGAGCCCCTTCGACGTGCGGCTGGGGGCTGGCGCCGTGGAGCCGCGACGGCCTGGCCGCGGACCCGGCGACCCAAAGTACAGGTTTCGTCTTCTAGTCGATCGTCTAGTCGATCGCCCCCCGGGCCACCCGCGCAAATTTTGATCAGCAAATTTCGAAGGCGGCCGCAAATTTTGAGGTAGATTTTGATTGTCAAACGTGGTCCGTCGTGGTACGGCTCTACAGGATAGAGCATACAATTGTATACCGGCGGCGAACACCCAGGTGCGCAGGGAGGAGGGACATCGCGACTCTGCCCGCTCGCTCGACCCTCCTTTTGCCGCGAGAGGGCGCCGGCCGCGAGTAAGAGGTGGCTGGCGCACTGAGGCGGCATTTGGTGGCGTGCGCGTGGGGAGTGCGGAGAACGCTACTGGCGGCGTGACAGGGCCTCTCTCGGTTGCGTGTGCCGCCCATCGGCACGCGGGTGCGCAGACATCGCGACTCTCCCGCTCGCTCGACCCTTTTGCCGCGCGAGAGGGCGCCGGCCGCGTAGTGAGAAGAAAATGTAAACTATCATGAGATTAACAGAGCAAAAAACAGCAAAGCACTAAGGAAACTGCGGGTGATCCTTCTTTTCTACCTGGCTAGGATTGAGAGCAGCGTCGCTCTCAATCCTAGAAGCCGAAAGATTGTGAGCAGCACTCCTCGCAATCGCAGCATCTCTGTGCGATTGTGAGCACCCAGCGCAGGCTCGCAATCCTACATCTTCTAGGACTATGAAGCAGCTCCGCTCACAATGTGACTGGGGACGCCTACGACTAGGACTACTACCAGCGCGCTCACAATCCGAGCAAACTCTTAGGGCTGCGAGTAGCTTATCTCACCATCCTAGAAACATGCCTGCTATTGCGAGCAGGAGCCCTCGCAATCCTACATCTATACCCGATTGCAAGCGGTATCACCCACACACTCCTACGACTTCTAGGAGTGAAAGAGGTTCCCCGCGCCGTCGGTGCGACGACTGTCTTAGTGTTGAGACGAGACCCTCCCGCCCCTCTCAGGAATCGCTTGGCGCGGCTCCCGTGGATGACCAGCGTTATTGCTACCCACATCGATAGTCTCTACTCGCACCAGCCTGTGCATCTCCGCCCTCTCCGCATGCTCGCTCGGCCTCCTCTGGCTTCTA